AATCAAAGAGTGCTCTGAATCACATCAACGATAGAATTGGGCCAAACTTCCCACACAGTATCCCCATAACTGACAGAAAATACTGGAGGGATTAGGGATGAACTGACAGTGATTTAGGGGAGATGTAGTTCACCTACATCTAGAGAGCACTGTGAACCCAAATGACTATGCCAAAGGGATTCATAAGACCATCAGAAATATGTGTTTTCTAATGGTCTTTGGCGACCCCTCTGAAACTCTCTTGTGACCCCCCCCCCCGGGGTCCCGACCCCCAGATTGAGAAACATTGCTCTAGAATATAGCCCACAGTGCTTCGGTATTATTCATAAGCATTAAGAAGGCCACTCCGTGGTCCTATGTGTCCATAGCTTTCTTGAGGTGGTCAGTTTCATTCTGAAGAATTTCATTCTTTCTCCTCAACTTTGAAGATTGTTGGCGGATTTCAAATTGAAGACCAAAAAAAGGTGCAGCTGTTTCAGCAAAGGGCGCAACATGATTCCAATTAGCAATCTGGCCACCGCATTTTAGACTAATTGGAGCTCCCTTCGGCTCCAACTAGAACATACTGCAGCAACCCAGATGTGACGTTACTAAGGCATCTTGTGTCTGTTTACCAATACAGTTTAGTGTGCCATAGCTTCATTCTTTCTGTCGTTACGGATCACTAAAACCAATGGTTTGTGGGCTGCTCTTTCTTTTTGCAGACATTACCTGAATGTTTAATTAATACATACTGGTATTCATTGAATAATCACTTGAATCACCCCAGCCACCACCTCCACGTCTCCACAAACAGCTGTAGCTCCCATTACTCAGAAGACACCAATGCCCCTCTTGTATATGTTCATGAGTACCATTAACATATACATGGTACTCATGAACTCATATGTTTATGAGTTCCATGAACATATACAAGCGCCCACTGCCTCTCCCTTAACCCTTTCCTATTCTTTCCTATGGCACACAACAAACAGAGGAATTGTTCAGCAACTGAACATACCAGAGAGGTTTAGGGGGAATACACCATGATTTATAGGAGTTGTAGATACTGGGATGTATAGTTCACCTGCAATCGTAAGAGCACTCTGAACCCCACCAACAATGGACCTGGACTAACTTGGCACACAGAGCCCCCATGATTAGCAAAAAAAAAAAAAAAATACTGGAGGTCTTTGGRGGGATTTATAGGAGTTATAGTTCACCTATATGCARAGCGCACTATGAACCTAAACAATGATGGATCTGGWCCAAACTTGGCATGCAAACCAGATAGGCCTAAATTTGAATACTGGTATGTTTTGACGGAAATTGGATTGGACGTTTTGGAATTGTAGGTACTAGGATTTATAATTCACCTGAAATCAGTGAGCGCTCTGAACTCCACCAAAGATGGAATTGGACCAAACTGGGCACACAGAGCCCCCATGGCCAGCAAAAAATACTGGATGTCTTTGGGGAAAGTTCACCTACATCCAGAGAGMACTGTGAACCCAAAGAATGATGGGTCRCCTGAGGGTTGAGAAGAGTGGTATACAAATATAGTAAATAAATAAATAAACAGTGGATCTGGACCAAACCTGGTACACATACCTGATATGCCAAAATTTGATTACTGGAGAAGTTTGGGGGGAACTGACCTTCTTTTCTGGGAGTTGTAGTTCACCGATAACCAGAGAAACTGTAACCTCCACCAATGTTGGACCTGGAGCAAACTTGGCACTTAGAACCCCCATGACTAACTCAACCTACTGGAGGGGTTTGAGGGGACTCATTCATCATAATGGGAGTTGTAGTTTACCCTACAGTCATAGAGCACACTGAACCCCATCGATGATGCATCTAGAGCAAACTTGCCCAACATCACAAACTTTAAGTACTGATGGGTTGACCTGGCATGATGTGAGTTGTAGTTCACCCACAACTTCAAGAATGTTGTGCAGTTAAAAACTGRCTTTTTCAAATAACTCTGGCAATGCTGRGTACCCAAGCTTGTGTGTGTGTGTGTGTGTGTGTGTGTGTGYGTGCGTGTGTGTGTGTGTTACACATATACATTTACACACACACACACACACACACACAYACATACACTAAGCTTGTGTTATTTTATTTTGTTACTTTTTTGTTGCTGTGATGTAATTTTACTGTTGTTTTGTCTAACTTTGCTGTATTTTTGGGCTTGGCCTCATGTTAGCCGCCTCAAGTCGGCGGGGAGATGATGGCGGGGTTTAAATAAATATTATTATTATTATTATTATTATTATTATTATTATTATTGTGTTATTCTTGCATTATTGTGTTATCTTTGCATTATTTATAGCTAGATATGGAGGTGTTTAGCAGGAACGCTTATTCATAGACATTGCTTTCCTTTTATGACCACTTTGGCTTTTTCTCCCTCTTTCAGGTAATGATGTCGGAAGGAGTTCTTATGGTGCCATGCAAGTTAAACAGGCCTTTGATTATGCATATGTCGTTCTGAGCCATGCAGTATCACCAATAGCGAAATATTACCCCAACAACGAAAGTGAAAGGTAAAAACTAATCCTCCAAATTGACTCATTCCCGGCGTCATCTTTTTTGCTCCTTTTAAAACCCAATAATCTTTTCTCTATTTTAAAACTCTTACAGTATATTGGGAAGAATAATTCGAGTAACGCAAGAAGTGGCAACATACAGAGACTGGATATCAAAGCAGTGGGGAAGTCAAAGTAGCACAGAAACTTCATGCAACGGTAAGTAATGCTGCAAATAATGAAGTTAGGGCTGCCTCTTATTAAAATACGAAGATCCGCCCAAAAAGAAGGCTTCCCCTATATACTTGTCCTATGAAATGTCTGTTTTATAAAACTCTGGAGTATATTCATGATTCTTGAAATTGTTCCATAGTTTGAGTGAGATCTAGCCATGGCGTAGTTATTTCACTCAAAGCCACTGTCTCTTCTCACAATGTTGCCAGGAGTGTCACTTAATTTTTATCATGTATCACTTAAAAACAAATTAAGCTGATCTATGGTTAGAGCTGTTTCTATGTTAACAAAGATATAAAACAATGCTTCTCCACCTTATTATTTATTTATTATTATTATTATTTATTTACAGCATTTATATTCCGCTCTTCTCACCCCGCAAGGGACTCAGGGCGAATTACAATGTACACATTTATGGCAAACATTCAATGCCAATTAGACATACAACGTATATAGACATACACAGAGGCTATTTAACTTTTTCTGGCCACCAGGGGAGCTGTCGCTTTCATTGTCCATCTGCGGCACTGATAAAGTACTTCCACATTCCCCACATGCTTTGCTGGAGTGCTTTTTGCTGGAGTTTTTTATGGCCTCATAAATTAGTTAAATTAGCCTCCCCACACATAGGTGGTACCTAATTTTCCTACTTGACAGATGCAACTGTCTTTCGGGTTGCAAAGGTCAACAACAAGCTACACAATTGGTCAGAAGCTCACTCCGACCCGGGCTGGCTTCGAACTCATGACCTTTTGGTCAGAAGTGATCTTAATGCAGCTGACACTCAGCCAGCTGTGCCATAATCCCAATGCCTAACCTTCCTAATGCCATGACCCCTTAATACTGTTATTCATGTTGTCGTGACCCCCAAGCATAAAATTATTTTTATTGCTACTTCATAACTGTAATTTTGCTACTGTTATGAATCGTAATGTAAATATCTGATATGCAGAATGTATTTTTATTCATTCCAAATTTGGACCAAATTTGGCACAAATACCCAATATGCCCAAATTTGAATACTGGTAGGGGTTGGGGAGGGATTGATTTTGTCATTTGGGAGTTGTAGTTGTTGGGATTTACAGTTCACCTACAATCAAAGAGAATTCAACCAAACTTGGCACACGGTACTCCCATGACCAAGAGGTTTGATGGGCATTGACGTTGAGTTTTGGAGTTGTAGTTCACCTACATCCAGAGAGCATTGTAGACTCAAAACAAAGATAGATCTGGACCAAACTTGGCACAAATGCGCAATATGCTCAAATGTGAACACTGGTGGAGTTTGGGGAAAATAGACCTTGACATTTGAGACTTGTAGTTGTTGGGATTTACAGTTCACCTACAATCAAAGAGAATTCAACCAATCTTGGCACACAGTACTCCTATGACCAATAGAAAATATTAGAAGGGTTTGGTGGGCATTGGCGTTGAGTTTTGGAGTTGTAGTTCACCTATATCCAGAGAGCATTGTAGACTCAAACAATGATAGATCTTAACCAAACTTGGCACAAATGCTCAATATGCTCAAATGTGAATACTGGTGGAGATTGGGGAAAATAGACCTTGACATTTGGGAGTTGTAGTTGTTGGGATTTATAGTCCAACTACAATCAAAGAGCATTCTGAACCCCACCAATGATAGAATTGGGCCAAACTTCCCACACAGAACCCTCCAGCCTCTCACACTCTCCCTCGCCTGCACATGTGCACCACACTGCCATGTGCCGAGCACGCCTGCTCTCCCCTCCCCACTTGGAGTCTCAGAAACAGCCCTCCCCTTGGCTGAGAGGCCAGCTGAGAAGCTGGCCAATCACAGTGGAGCAGGGCTTTTAGTGGCAGGATTCACAATCTGTTTCCAAAAAGGAAGAGTAGGACAAGCAGAGAAGGCTGAAGTTCTCTCTTGCCAGAGAAGGCTGAGATCTTCAGCCTTCTTTGCCAAAGGGATTCCTAAGACCACCAGAAATACATGTTTTCTGATGGTCTTTGGCAACCCCTCTGAAACCCCCTCGCAACCCCCCAGGGGTCCCGACCCTCAGATTGAGCAACGCTGATATAAAGAAATCGTGTAGAACTTCTGATGTGCTAGAGTCCCTGGAAGCTTATGCCAAAAGCTTCTTTTTCTCATTTAGTCTCAGAAGTCTTTTAAATCTTTATCTAGATAACATGTCTTTGAATGCAACCACAGCATTTATGAATGCCTTTGTTGTGAAGGCTATCCTCCTTCATTGTTGTTGTTTGTTGTTGTTCTAGGCAATGGTGTGACAATAGATAACCAGCAGCTGGACAAATGCAACAATAATCTCTCTGAAGAGAGTGAGTCGCTAGGGAAGCCTAGGAGTAAAACTTCAGAGACGCCAAGCAAGCACTCATCGAATTCTTCATCAGGTCCTTTATCGTCATCGTCTTCCACACTTTCCAGCTCTAGTGATGTAGTAAGTTCTTTGATTACTGTATTCAGACTGAATTATTGTGTTGCACTTTGAGCAGCTCTCAAGGACCATAAGCTTCTTTGGATACAAAATGCAGCAGCCAGAATACAGTCTGGTTGATGTTGGCATTATCTTTTTATATTTCTGGGCTTACTTCAAATATTGGCCCCAGCCTTTAACAACTGAAATTTTGTGGAGTAATTATTACCTTAGGATTCATACCTTTCCTTGTGAAGGGACTTGGTCCAAATCGTCAACATCTGAGATGTTACTTGCAACCTGTTTCAAAACTGTAACATCCAGATGATGCTATGGCTGCTCTAGAGTAGTGTGATAGATCCTCCCATCCCATGTCTCCTGAATGGTTGACGTGCCTCAGTTTGTAGAGGATCAAACTTCATGTGATGCCTCCAAAATAATTAAGATATTGGTAGCTGATTCAGTGGTTTATGAAGCATATTTTTGTGAAGGCATTTTGCATGTTATGGGTGTAAATTGTGATTACAGACAATCCCTAACTATACCATATTTTATCACATAATAGCCACACTTTTAATCCCTTTTTTTGGATTGAAAAAAGAAGGTGCGACTATTACACGATGAAAATAATCGGCTTTTGATTCTCTAGTGTCTGTTTGAAAAGTAAGAAATTGCCTTATCTCTGAGACAGGAGAAGGAGCCTCAAACAACTAAGCTACTTTTTGTTTGTTTTTCTTATAACTGCCTTGCCTTGGGGGAAGGAGAATGAAAGATTCCCTCTGCCTCCCTTCCTTCTTTCTCTTAAGGCAGGATAGTTTACAAAATGGAGCTCTTTGGAGGAACGAGGGAAGACCTAAGTTCCAGAGACTTCCATTTCAGAGGTTTTAAACTGCCTTAAGGCCTTGAAGGAAGGAAGATGTAATTGTCCGCAAACTGTTTGTTGGACGAGTGGGCTTATTAACAAAAGACCCTCCCCATGAATGTACAACAGAGTAACTTTGCTGCAGCAGCATAACCCAGCACCAGTGGCCAAAAGTGATAAAAAGAACAAAAACACACAGACCAATGTTATCTCTTGCTTAGAAGGCTTTTCTTTGTAGCAAAATAATACGGTCGAACTATTTATAAGAACAAGTCATCCATAACACAAATAAATTTCTTTATACTTTCTTCTTTGCTTCCACGCTGGGCTTCTTTCTCATTCAGATAAACAGCTTCACTCTCCCAGAGCCTCTTCTCCCACCGAAGTTACATAGGAGTTTCACACTGTAGCTTTTTACAAACAGCAGCCTTCACACATTTTTATTTATTTATTTATTATTCAAACTTTATATGCCGCCACTCCCCTGGGGCTCGGAGCAGCTTACAAGAACAGGCTAAAATCTAACACAATTTAAAAACAATTTAAAAACAATTTAAAAACAACAATATCAAAGATCAAAGGCCTGTCGAAACAGATATGGCCTTCAACCTGGGGCTTCTCTCACCGAAGCTTCTCACACACTAGGCCAACTCATACTGAGGTCTACCTCACACTGAAGAATTTCTCCCACTGAGGACTCTCTCAGACTGATACCTCTCTCACACGAAGGCAAACTAACACTGAGGCCTTTCATACTGAGGCCTATCTAACACACTAAGGCCCTTTTCCCACAGAGACCTCTCACAGACTGAGGGCTTCTAAGCTACACACAGACCTACTTATATTGAACTGCAGTTTTTGGTGAGTCATGGCATCCATTTAACTTTTTCAGTGCTTGACTCACATTTTTGTAATTTAAAATAACTAGTTGAATTTTTAATATTTCTGACATGGCTCTGCGACCATTATGCAAGGAACACAACAATACCAATTTTGCAACTCCAAAAATGGGGGTGCGACTATTACGACCGTGGTGAGTATTATGTAATGAAATGTGGTATGTGTGAATCTTGCAAAGAATGGAGGATGCATGGGCCAGAGTTAGGAAGGTGTTCTTATTTGAGCCACTATACGTTCCCTTCGGGAGAGATAAAGTGGGGTATTATAATAATAATAATAATAATTTTTATTATTATTAGTATTAGTATTTGCAACATTCCTCATCCAATGAGACCATTTGTCCACTTGCTGAAGTGTTCTGGGAGCTGTAATCCAGAGAGATAACTCTTTCAAGCTCTGAAACATCATATAAGTTTTGGGGGTGATCTTTCACTTTAGAAGGAACTTACCATCCATGTTCTTACTGATGATGCCTGTTTCCCTGACAGGAGTCTGATGGAACACCCTGCAAAACATCTAAACAGCTGGGCTGCCGCCAAACTACAGCAAACAGAACTCAGGACATATCACTGGGATCGACCCAGATGAGTGGGAAAATTCCAAGCAGCCAGGCTATGAATACGTCTAGCACTGGAAACAAATCCCAGGTTTGTAGCCACGAGGCTTAGTCACCTCCCTCCCTCCCTTCAGGGCCTGAAGATGAGTTTCCCCTTTTTGCCTTCCAAGTGTTTAATAGGGAGAGACTTGTTTCTGCTACCGAACTCCCCTCTTCAATTCTTTAGCATTAAGAAGATAATTTATGAGACCCTAAAAAGCAAAAGAGTCAGTAAGAAAAAGAAATATGCCTGTGTATAGCATATTATAGCCTGGCATACGTGCACAGTAGATGTTCCCTRCGTCTGTGCTAAGTTTTTCCACTTGGTGTCTTATTTATTTATTTATTTGCGACATTTGTATGCCCCCTTTTATTTATTTATTTGCGACATTTGTATGCCACCTTTCTCACCCCGAATGGGACTCAGAGCGGCTTACAATATATTATATTATTAGCATTGTACAATATCAATATTATATATTACTATATTGTACTGTACCATTATATTGTAATATATGTAATATGATAATTATAATATCATATTATTATTAGTAGTATTATAATAATACTAACCAGACAAAGGGGACTTCATCTACAGTGCAGAACTAATGCAGTTTGACTCCACATTAGCTGCCATCGTGTGGTGCGATGGAGTCCTGGGACATGTAGTTTTACAAGGTCTTTAGCCCTTTCTATGCAAAGAGTCTCCTTCAGAAAAGACAAAGCAGTAGCACCAGGACTGGGACAACTGTCTGGGAGTCAGCTGCATTAAGATCACTACTGACTGAAAGGTTATGAGTTCGAAGCCAGCCTGGGTCGGAGTGAGCTTCCGACCAATTTGTGTAGCTTGCTGTCGACCTTTGCAGCCCAAAAGACAGTTGCATCTGTCAAGTAGGAAATTTAGGTACCATTTATGCAGGGATGCTAATTTGACTAATTTACGAGGCCATAAAATCTCCAGCAAGCATGCAAAGAATGAGGAAGTACTTCATCAGTTTCACAAATGGACAGTTAAGCAACAGCTCCCGGTGGCCAGAATGCCCTTATCAAAAAAAGCTGGAAAGTTAAATAGCCTCTGTGTCTGTCTATATATGTTGTGTGTCTATGGCATTGAATGTTTGCCATGTAGATGTACATTGTAATCCGCCCTGAGTCCCCTGCGGGGTGAGAAGGGCGGAATATAAATACTGTAAATAAATAAATAAAAAATAAATTGTAGAGAAGGGTTTTTTAATGGAGTTGTTGCAAGTGCTAATGGTGTTTCTTCTCTCTTTCTCTCTTCTTGCCTTGCAGCACGGATCAACGAGGTTATTCCGCACTTCTTCCAACAAAGGGTTCCAAGGTCCAGGGAATTCAAGCCATGGCACTTCGGTGACGAACAAACCGCACCAAGGCAGCAAATCCCACCAGTTTTACCACAACAAAAAGAGGAAACACAAGAGGGACGCTGCCCTTTCAGACCTTTGTAGATAGTCTTCCTATCTGAAGAAATACGTGACTGTACTTCTGTGTGCAATGATCTCAATGCTACAAAGGATAAGTTGGACACTGACTCCCCCGGACCTCATCCGGAGTCTCAAGACTGTTGAAAACGTTGATTAGCAACACATTTTAGTTTATTTTTATTTTATTTTTTTCCAGCTCGCCACGGAAAAGATCATGAAGACTGACAACTGCAAAAAAAAGGAAAAAAAAACACAAAAAAGAAATTAAAAATTTAAAAATGGGTGGGGAATGGTGGGTGGGGAGGAGGAGCCTGCTCATCCGATAAAGTCATATACTACAACAGGGTTGTTAAAGGTATATTTAAAAAAAAAGCTTGAATGTAAAATAAATATCTCCTATCAGCTTTTATGCTGAAAACGTAGGGATAGGACTCAGTGTGTTTAAGGGGTTGGTAATGAACTAAAAATAAAGGAGAGGGGGGCAAGAAAAGCAGGGTGGGGGGTAGCGTTTTGAAGGGAACCCAAATCTCCAAGCAGAGAAGACGAAAAATGTGCGCATGATAAATTTTTAAATTATTTTTGCATATATTTACCATTTTATCGTGTATCGATAGGCGACCATACATATTAGGAGAATCGAACATTTGTAATAGTGGATTTGTTAATACTTTTTACATAACATGACTGTTGAAATGGTAGAGGACACCTTTTCCTCCCACTCCTCCTCCCGATTTTCCTCTCTAGATTTGTTATTTATTCATATATTTTTTTAATTTGTCAGGTGAAAAATCAGACAAACATAATAGGCTAGGATTTGTGGTGGATTTTTTTCCCCTTCTCCTTTTAGCCTTGGAATAATGATTGAATAGCACATCTCTGCGTCTGCACAAGTTGTCCTTTCGAGGAAGGGAAAAAATATATAGGAAAAGAAAGCTAGGGGTAAAGTCTCGTTTTTCAAATGTCGAAATGCATCCTGTGTCAACTCTTTCTCTTTGGAGGGAAAAAAACAAACAAAACAAAACAATGAATTCTTCCACTTGTTTCTAAAGTGCCATCATGGGGTGTTCCAGCTTTCCTCCGAAATCGTAACACACTTTGCTGTGTTTTAAGGGGGAAACAACCGACGTTGGGTTATGTTTGGATTTTTTGGGATTTTCTTTCAACCGACTTTTCTGAAATTCATATTATGCATTTGGATAGGAAATCCTATCATCCTTAGTGCTAATGAGGAAGCGCTCTCAATCCTATGCCTTTTTTCTTGTGCGTGCCTTCATCCTTATGTCTTATTTTTTTTTCTTTCCTCTTGTTACAACTTTCTATCTTTTTCCTTCTTTTTTGAAAAAGGAGAAATAGGCGGTTGATGACTTTTGTGTGATTTCGTTCCCTTTTTGGGATCTCCCCCCCCCCTTCTAATAAAAGCCCACCCCTTAAAAAAGAAAAGACTTCTTCAAATAACGGACATAAATTTGTATTTATATATAAGTGAATTTTTTTTCATATTCACATCTTTCTTCCTGGAGTCCTCATCCCAAGAAAAAAACGACGAGTTCGAACATTTCCTACGCTTTGTGCGACCGAAGCAAACGTCTCCAGCTACGAAATGCGAAAAGGAATGTGTAGAAGTTTGTAGTCACTTGCATTGTTTGCAAATATATATAGATATAGATATATAAATATATATTTGGAGCACTTTAACGGATAGAATGTACAGTGACGTTATTGTAAGCTTTTTCTTTTGAAGCGGAAAGTGTGCGTGATTGCGTGTCTTCGTAAGTACGAATGAGTGTGTTTCGGGGAGGGGGGAGAACGACGCCGACGATCATTTCTTCGAGGAGCGATGATCGCTTTTAGACATTTTTTTTAATTGCAGACCAACTTGACCTTTCATGCGCGATGATCGTGCGCGGAAGCTTTTAAAGTAAAATTTAAAAAAATAATGCAACACGACCAAAAACTGTCATGAATGGAAACTTAATAAAACGCTCTCTCGATATACGAAAGCATTTTGATTTCTTTTCAAAAGAGAAAAAGGGAGGAAAAAAGAATCAATCTTTGCCACCATAAATTCTTTAGGACACTAAACTTAAGTAAGGGGGGGAAAAAAGGAATGTTAACTTGACAATAGTGTTCAATTTCGATACATGTTTTGTTTTTCCGTTAACTCAACTGTCATATTATGCAATATCGAAATATTTATTTTGAGTTTAAATACATTTTTTGTAACTGTAGGACTACCTTCACTGCTTTGGGAACAAATTCTAAATTATCTTAATCCAGTATTACTTAGCTGCTGTTCTTGAATGCTGTTACAATTGTGTAATACACCAATCTGTATTACTTATCCACACTGAAGGCTTTTTTTATATTATTGTTACTATTATTATTTAATAATTTGATTTTTTTTTTAATTTTCGGGGGGAAAAATCACCCTCTTTGTTGGAAACGAATGTTCTGTCAGGATGCAGAGATTGGTGTTCCAATAAGTATCTGATTATTTTAATGTGGTGGTAGCGGGAAGATAATCTTGATTCCATTGGGAATCTTAGGTTTGCCTCAATTTATGGTTTTCATAAATTTTAATGGAAAAATAGCTTTTCCTGGACTGCTCGAGTTTCATTTTGTAAACGGTATCTTTCTAACAGGAGAAGACGAGGACAAAGCATGAAGGACAAACTGAGGTATTTACTTCACCTCAAATAACCAGCATTGTATTCATGAAACACTGTATATCTAGCAAAAACCTTTATTTAAGCGGAACAGTTGAACTGTTCTTATTATTTTTTTTTCAATCCAGAGTAAAAAAATTACTTTCAAAACCTTTTAAGTTTTGCCTGCTCATTTATCTTGTACATTTCATCTCTGTATTCAACCGAAGTCATTTTTTTTTGAGTTTCAATACTTTTTTGTGAAAATTTTTGTGAAATATATATATAAAAAAATAAATGTTTCAACACAAGCGTGTTTATCCTTTGTGAAATCTGTTTGAGTTTGAACATATGCGATTCCTCACCCTACCTTTTAGGTATTTTACAAAAACTCCAGACACATCTCATAACAGGAGCACCAAAGCTGACATTTGGACCTTCACAGATTAGACCCAACAGAATCCCTGGTTATTGGCCTTCACTATACAGTTTGGTCGCTCAAGTCCAAAACATTTGAATGCCACAGGTTGCCCATTTCTGACATAAATCAGTCCTGAGAGCCAGTAGCTGAGTAGGAGTTAGCCTACTCCTCAAGGGCTGAGAAGGATGAAGTATGGAGAGGATTCAGAAGAGACATGAAGTCTAAGAGGAGACATGATAGCCATGTTTCAAGATGTGAGGGGAAGTCATAGGGATGAAGGAGCAAGCTTGTTCTCTGCTGCTCTGGTGACTAGGATGTGGGACAATGACTTCAAATTACAGGAAAGGAAATTCCACCTGAACATGAGGAAGAAYTTCCTGAGAGCTGTTCAGCAGTGGAACTCTCTGCCCCAGAGTGTGGTGGAGGCTCCTTCTTTGGAGGCTTTTAAGCATAGGCTGGATAGTCATCTGTCAGGGGTGATTTGAATGTGATTTTTCTGCTTCATGGCAGAGGGTTGGACTGGGTGGCGCACAAGGTCTATTCCAACTATGATTCTATGGTAAGATGTACAGATGGTCCTTCACGTTTACAGTTTTGGTTTTGCTGATGTAATTATTTATGGATTTGATTAAAAATGTTGTTTGAATCTCTAGGTCCTCTAGTGAGCCAAAGGCTGTCTATTACTGACAGTTCCAAGAGCGAGTAATTGAGTATCAGCCTATTCTTCAAGGACTGAGAAGGATGAAGTGTGAGATGTACAGGCCTTTCACATTTGTGATTTTTACTTCTTGAAGATATTATTTGTCATGTATTTGATTTAAAATGTTCTCTATAGCAATCTCCAGGTCCTCTAGTGTGCTAAAAGTTGTCCATTTCTGACAAATCATTTCCAGGGACCTATAGTTGACTAGTAGTTAGCCTATTGTCCATGGTTGAGAAGGATGTTGATATGAAGAATGGTGAGATGTACAATCGGTCCTCTCCATCCGTGGCTTTGACTTTTATGGATTTAATTATTCATGGATTTGATTAACAGCGTTCTCTGTATGAATCTTTAGGTCTTGTAGTGAGCTAAAGGTTGCCTGTTTCTGACAATTCAGTTTCAAGAGCCATAGTTGAGTAGAAGAGCCAATTCTTCAAGGACTGAGAAGGATGAAGTGTGAGGTGTACAGTCACTCTTCCACAGTTTTGGTTTTGACTTTTTGCAGATTTAATTTTTCATGGATTTGATTTAAAATGTTCTCTGTAGCAATCTCTAGGTCCTCTAGTGAGCTAAAGGTTGCCCATTTCCAATATAAATCAGTTCCAAAGACCTGTAATTGAGTAGGAGTTAGCCTATTCATTAAGGGTTGAGAAGGATGTTGATGTGAAGTATGGTGAGATGTACAGTTGGCCCTCTCCATTTGTGGCTTCGATTAAAAAGGTTCTTTGTATGAATCTCTAGGTCCTCTAGTGAGCCAAGGGTTGCCCATTTCTGACAATTCAGTTTCAAGAGCCATGGTTGAGTAGAAGTTAGCCTATTCTTCAAGAATGATGAAGTGTGGTGAGATGTACAGTCACCCTTCCACATTTGTGGCTTTGACTTTTTGCTGATTTAATTTTTCATGGGTTTGATTTAAAATGTTCTCTATAGCAATATCTAGGTCCTCTAGTGAGCTAAAGGTTGCCCATTTCTAATATGAATAAGTTCCAAAGACCTATGGTTAGCCTACTCATCAAGGGTTGAGAAGGATGTTGACGTGACGTATGGTGAGATGTACAGTTGGCCCTCTCCGTTTGTGGCTTTGATTAAAAAGGTTCTCTATATGAATCTTTAGGTCCTCTAGTGAGCCAAAGGTTGCCCATTTCTGACAATTCAGTTTCAAGAGCCATGGTTGAGTAAAAGTTAGCCTATTCTTCAAGGACTGAGAAGGATGAAGTGTGGTGAGATGCGCAGTCAGCCTTCCACATTTGTGGCTTTTACTTTTTACTGATTTAATTTTTTATGGATTTTATTTAAAATGTTCTCTATAGCAATCTCTAGGTCCTCTAGTGAACTAAAGGTTGCCAGTTTCTGGCATAAATCAGTTCCTATAGTTGAGTAGTAGTTAGCCTATTTGTCAAGGGTTGAGAAGGATGTTGATGTGAAGTATGGTGAGGTTTACAGYTGGCCCTCTCCATTCATAGCTTGGACTTTTGTGGATTTAACTATTCATGGATTTGATTTAAAAGGTTCTCTCTAAGAATCTCTAGATCCTCTACTGCGCTTCTATAGTCAACACCCTCTAATTATGTCGGAGGACTTAGAGATGTCTAAAAGTAACATCTCTCTCTAGGTCCTCCAATCTGATTCTATGGCCAGTCTTCAGTGGAAGTCGTCCATAGCTTCATACTAGAAGACTCAGAAACTCCCAGAGAGTTTAAAACAATCATGGCTTTTCAATTGTGGGGGGTCCAATGCCCCTAACCCCAGCAAATGTGGAGGGCTGACTACATCTACTCTTCTAGCCAAGTGCAGAGAGATAATGGTCTACACAGCCTGGGTCAAAATGTCCCTTTCCCAAAACTACGTTTTTGAAAAACATATTTCTCTGTGGTGCATCTTCCTGGTTAAAGAGATAACTACTCCTCTCGCTAGGAGCAATGTGTTTGCAAAAGGCRATAAAAAGTTTCTACATATTCAGTTGACCACATTTATTGCCAGGTTTCATCTCTGGAGCACAGACATTCAGAGCCATTTTTGCTTAATCATTACTTGCTAGAGCCTTTTGCTCTCAATTATGTTTACCCTGCTGTATAATGTAAAAAAAACATTCAGTTTGGTCCATCTTCTCCACGTTTCAGGAACGTTATGCACATTTTACTCTTTAGACTGACACAGTTGAGGGCATCAGAGGACCTTCTTGGGGGTTCCACCAACTTCTGGTGGAAAAGGATAGCATTTAAACTATATTTTGGCCTTGACTGATGCAGAAGACGTTGCACCGTTTCCTCATTTGTTGTGTTTTAAATGCCCTTGGTGCTGTTTTTAACAATTGGTTTCAATATTGGTTTCAGTTGCGGGTTTAGTCTATGATGGAAACCACTTTGGACCCCTTTTTGGAGATGAGTGGGATGCAAATAAACTATAACCAGTTTCCAAGTTACATCTGACTTACAAATGACTCATAGTTAAGAATCAGGACAACAGGAAGTGAGGAATCTACCCCTCAGAAGGGAAATTCACTCCTGGAAGAATTGTTATCATGGAGGAAAGCGGTCTCCATTGAAGCTTTCTCTCCAATCCATGTTTCCACAACAAGCCATTTTTTTCCAGTTATCACAAGAACAGAAAGTGAGGTGAAATCTTCTGAACAGGGGCACAGATAGAAACACAAACATGACAGGGGTCAGGGGTGTTAACCCTTCCCTATGCTATCTACAGCTATATATATAGCTGGAGTTATACTTCAAAATGCACCTATTCCAACTTAAAATCAAATTCAACTTAAGAATAAGCCTACAGAACCTATCTTGCTCATTAGTTGGGGATGGCCTGTATTTTGTATAGTTTCTGTATGCCAGTGTTTCTCAACTGGGGGTCAGGACCCCAGGGGGGGGTTACTGTAGGAAGTCAGAGGGGTCACGAAAGACCATCAGAAAACAGTATTTTCAGTTGGTAATGGGAGTTCTGTGTGGGAAGTTTGGCCCAATTCTAGGATTGGTGGGGTTCAGAATGCTCTTGATTGTAGGTGAACTATAAATCCCAGAAACTAAAACTCCCAAATGTCAAGGTCTATTTTCCCCACACTCTAGCAGTGTTCACATTTGGCCGTATTGGGTATTTGTGCCAAGTTTGGTCCAGATCATCATGTTTGAGTCCACAGTGCTCTCTGGATGTGGGTGAACTACAACTCCAAAACTCAAGGTCAATGCCCACCAAACCGTTCCAGTATTTTCAGTTGGTCATGTGAATTCTGTGTGCCAAGTTTGGTTCAATTCCATCATTGGCGAAGTTCAGAATGCTTTTTGATTGCAGGTGATCTATAAATCCCAGAAACTACAACTCCCAAATGTCAAGGTCTATTTTCCCCAAACTCCAGTGTTCGCATTTGGGCATATTGAATATCCGTGCCAGGTTTGGTCCAGATCCATCAATGGGTCCACAGTGCTCTCTGGATGTAGTTGAACTACAACTCCAAAACTCATCAGTGCCTACCAAACCCTTCCAGTATTTTCTGTTGGTCATGGGAGTTCTGTGTGCCAAGTTTGGTTCAATTCAATCGTTGGTGGGGTTCAGAATGCTCTTTGATTGTAGGTAAACTATAAATTCCAGAAACTACAACTCCCAAATTACAAAACCAATCCCCGCAACCCCACCAGTATTCAAATTGGGAGTATCGGGTATCTGTGCAAATTTAGTGCAGCGAATGAAAATACATCCTGCATATCAGATATTTACATTACAATTCATAACGGTAGCAAAATTGCAGTTATGAAGTAGCAACAAAAATAATGTTATGGTTTGGGGTCACCACAACATGAGGAACTGTATTAAGGAGTCGTGGCATTCGGAAGGTTGAGGAACACTGCTGTATGCTAACAGCCAATCTGCAAGGTGGGAATCTGCAGAGACAAGAATTTCTTATTCCCGAGGATGCAATAAAACAACTCCTGAAATATGAAGCTGCTATGGATAGCAGACAATGGCATGCTATAGTTCAGGGGTCCCCAAACTATGGCCCGCGGGCCGGATCCGGCCCCCTGAGGGCATCTATCCAGCCCGCGGGCTGTGGAGAAGGGTGAGAGGTGGGAGAAGGGGGAGGGAGGCGGCGGGCGAAGGGGGGGAGGCGGCAGGCAAAGTGGCTTGGGCCCGCTTTGCCCTCTGCCTCCGTGGGCCCAGGCTCTCCTGCCTTCAGGATGCAGCCTCGC